ATTTAGTATTTATTAGTTTCCAGTGCACTTTTCGGTTTTACGTAATTCAAAAATAAATAGCTCGCTGACAATCCCCTGATTGATGATCCCCATACAATCTTCATCTTAATTACCCGTATTATATCACTCAATTAAGTTCATCTCATACAGCTTTTGTTTGTACTTTCCCGAGTTATTTTAATTACTCACTTTTTCTGGGCTTTTTTTCGTTGTGTCAATTATATTTATTTTGAGTTGTATTTGAGGTTTTAAATTGAAATGTAATTAAAGCTGCTAAATTAGCAGCAAATTAATTGCCCAGCCAGGCACACGATCGCTGACACCGGCACTCAAAAGTATTCACCAACACAAAAACCCCTACAATTAGGAGAAGCAAATTGTTTTCATGGCGCAGAAAAACAAAAGAGTTATAAACTAATAACGCCAATTATTCGCTGAAAACAACAGCAATAAAACAAGATCGCCAAAGGAAATGACGGCAAACATCTGTAGATGATTGTTGATTGTGGTTTTGGAATGTTGGTGTAGAAAAGCGTCGAACCCAATAGGAAAATAACGAAAAAAAAATTGTATTAGTTCCAAATGCTTACCAATGTATTTTTTATAGAGGTTAATTAGAATGTATAGCTTACATATCTTCGCCATCTTAACTACTTTTTGAATACCCACGTATTAAGCGATAATTTGCAATCTTAATTCGCCATATCTGGGCAATCGTAGAACATTGCAATTGTCAAGTCAAAGCTACCGAGTGCGAAATCAAAGATTTTATCACGGTTGCCGACCGATAAGATTTGATATCTGAGATATGGCCCGCTTATAGGAAAAGAAAGAGAATGTCAAAGAATGTCAAACCAGAAATATAACTTGAATTTGGTCTTAGTTCTTACTCTTTTCTTCAAGGATGACTTAGCAAAATAAAAAAAACCAACCACCCTGTTGTTAGCGAATCCATGTTAATCGTCAACACTTGATTAGCCCTTCTTTCACTATCAAGACTATCATATATCTATCAAAATGTTCATGGTTACAATCAAGATTTCCTATCTAATTTAGCATTTTGTTTTTTATTTGGACAAGAGAACTAATTCCGATTTCAATTGACAACTGGGTAGTTGGTTCCTGTAAAGTGGTCCACTCCAATTTCCATTGACGGTGCTCCTTCCTGTCATTTGATGTTGCTGTCATGATTATATGTGAATTGCATTCGTCTAAACTGGTTTAAGACTCCCGACCTGCTTCAAGATTTCGATTTCAACACCCATATCCGCAAGTGAAAGCTTCATCCAAAAGCATCGAGCTATTGCAAATCTTTGGAGAAATGTTTACAGAGCCTCTAACATATATTAAAATTAAAGGGAAATCCAATAACCAAGCATTTAAGAGAATATTTAAAACAAAAAATAGAAACTTTGTGTGACCTTGCTAATGAAATTCTGTCCAATTTTGCACGCTGTTATAAGGTCACACTGGAAACTGAGGATTTGATTTAATTTTTAAAAACTGTTCTTCAAGACGAAAAACTTTATACAGCACTGTGAGTAGTCGACAGTTGTCAATCGTTCTCTTGTAAATTGTGAAAAAAAAACAAACAAAAATGAAAAACAAACGTGGAACATTGTGGGTATAAATATTGAATATGATTGTACAGGCGAGACGCAATTGTTGTTGCTTGGCACTCACATGATTGTTGCCTTTTTTTCGCTTTTCGCTTTTGCATTTCCATTTCACACTTTCGAAAATTGCATTTTGCTGTCGTTTGAAATGATTTTTAGCATTTGCATAACAACAAAGCAAAGCTCTGAAAGGTGCGAGCGAGTTATAAAATATAAAATGGGAAAGGAAAACGAGATACTCGTACATAGTTACAGATCAAGAGAGCAAATTTGTCAGCCCTCTCTGGGACCGTATCTCTAGATCGTTTTATTACTGCGTATTTCGAGTCTCTGAAACTATTTTAGCAAACAAAAAATTCTTCGATATTCATATCGCCTGGCGCACCGAAAACACAAAGCATATTTTGTAAAAGTGCCGCGAAATTAACGCAAAAATTTCGACAACAACAAAAAGCTGTCAGAGCTCTCAAAAAATGTTGAAAAGAATTTTGTTGACTCGCCAATCGCCCAATGATAAATCTTTTCTCAACTGACGCAGAAGGGGTCTGCTACTTTCCGCTGGGGCGTGGTCAACGCCCACCTGATTCGGGGACTCGGTGACGTATGCGCGATATTTTGATAAATTATTTAACTTCTGTATATATTGTGTACTCGGATCAAACATATTTTTGGGGTGAAAGATCTTTGAAAAAATGGCAGATTTAAAAAACCTCCCAATAAATAAAATGGATATGATTTTAAATGATAATGTAACTGAACTCGTATGGTTTAATAATATTGCGCATACGCAGTGTTTTTAAGAATTTCACAATGATGTAATATTAAACTTCAAGGAATATTTGCGTATGGAAATCCATAAAAAAACTACCATATGATATCTTATTGCGCATACGCAGCCATGTTTGTGAGAACTTTAGTTCTCTGGAAAGAACAATCGAGTGAAATTGAAACAAAAACCCTTGAAGACGTGGGGGATCTGTTTAATCGGTATTTCCAGAAAGTGCAAACGCTTATCACCCACGATGCATTGCGATTGCATGGAGAGGGCGTGAGCCCCTGATAAGTCACAAGTGTAGGGAGATAAGGATACCCCTGGATGGCTTTCAGGGTACAAAAGAGGAGGGACAATCAAGGGCATCAGGTGTTAAGTGGAGCCAAGTGGGGTTAAGGCGAGTGCAATGCAATGATTTCAAGTGCCTTTCAATTGGCTTGCGAGCTTGAGGTAAAAATAGTCCAGAGATTTCCTTGATTGAATAAAACGATTCAGGTATTTAAGATCTGAAATTCCAGTTTAAGGTAAATTTAATTTAAGGATCAACATTTATTTCCTTTAATTCCCTGAAAATATTATACTAAAACGTACTAAATTAAAGTAAAAATAGATAAGAATTTTTAGATTTGAAATTTCAGCTTAAAATAAATTTAACAATTTTCTAAAAATAATATGCTTAAAAATACCAAAATAAAAAAAGGTAAAATAGATTTTTTAAATATACGGTTCTGGTATCTCAGGTTTATAATGTAAGTTAATACTCAATTTAACATGAATATATAATTTTTGGTAATTAATTATATATTGTTTTTATGTAATTTTCTTGAAATAATAATATTAAATATACCAGAAGGTATTTTCCCTGAAAACATCTCACTTTCGATCCGGTTAATACCCAAAGGGTATCTCCAATTTGGGATTCCCGACGCCAGCGTCGAGTTGATATTGCTTTCAGCATTTATAAATTGAAATTTGCATTCGAGATATTTAAATTGGGTTTGAGCCGCAGTAAAACGTGATCGCGACTTGGGTGAGATTGCGGTGCATTGGGGTTGCACACGAGAATCGTTTTCATTTGAAATTCTATAAACAACTTTCGCGGAACTCGAGCTCTGTGAGGTTTTATAATAGAAAATAAGTACTTTTCCCCCCCCCCCCCCGTTTTTTATGGCGAGACTTTGGCGTTTGCACTAGTGGCTATCGAACGTTTGCCTAACCGCCTCATCAGCAGCCCCTATATCTCCCCACTCTCCCCGCTACGATCAATGGCTCAATCAAGCCTTTTGTCCGCCTCGGATCCCCAGCACTTGTAATTCAAATGCGTCAAACGAAAACTCAACCGCAAATGATTCAATTTAAAATGGACTACAAAGCAGCAGAAAACTACGTAAGACTCAAGTGCTGTGATGGAAATACCCTTTAGTAAAGGGGGAGATACGAACTTTACGTATCCTATCTTAAAAAAATATTTTCGAATTTTTTTGAAAATCCTTCTTTAAAGCTAGATAATTTTTAGCATATTAACTATTTTTATTTGTTCCACTCTACCTGTAATATTTTTTATAGATCTATTTAGAATTGTTATAGAAAATATACATCCAAAAAAGTATTGGCAATGACAAACTTTATTTTTAAAAATTGGTTTTTCAAAAAAAGGAGTTCAAAATGTTTTCTAAAATTAAAAAAAATGCATTGTTTTCAAAATATAAAAAGTTCAAACAAATACTTCATTGAGTTCAGAAAATGGATAAGTATATCAAAAAATAATTTAAATATGTGTATGCTTTTTGGGCAAATTATAAAACCAGTTCATAGTGCTCCCTGAAAATAATGATGTAATGTTCTATACCAGTCACGACAAAACCAAAATGCCCATTTTGTGCGCAGGGTATGTTAGAGTAATATAAATAACAAAATTGAGCTGGCAAAGTGCTGACTGATTGTTATTGCCCCTGATGATGTATAATTTTAGTCTGCAACAACAATAATAATAAAAAATGCAGCGACCATAAAACGAGAATAAAATTTAAAATAAACAGATACCGCATTTTTAGACCCAAAAGAACACGTTTTATTTTCGATTTACTTTTTTTCTGTCTGTTTCAATCATTTTTATTTGGTTTCACTGTCGACAAACATTCCATTTGTTTATATCATTTACTAAATTCATCTCATCTTCCCAGAGCCTTCGATTTGCAGTTTATGTGCGGGTTTCTTTGTTTTTAGTAATTAAATTTTAAATCGCCCTTTGATAACGAGAGTTTTTCAATTGGTTTTTATCTTTTAACATGGGCTAAATTTATTTTACAATCTTTTTTTTTGTTTTGTTGAAAAATAGAAACACTGGTTCTTCGTTTTTCCTATATTCTTTATAACATATATTTCTTAGGCTTCCTCTGCTTATTATTAGACCAAAAAAATGTGTCTTCGTTTTGCCTTGATTGCGAATTGTTTAAGTTTGTTGTTGCCTGAGCATGCCGGCCAGCAGCTGCAAAAATGATGATTGAACAATTAAAACAATACCAAACCATATCGAAAGTATAACCAAACAAATAGTACCGAAATCACTGTGAAATACCAAAGATGAACTATGGGAAATAAATAACAATTACTTGTGTATGAATTAAGAACAAATTTTATTTGCTTTCATTTTCATTTCGCTTATTTGCCTTTTGCTTCTCGCATTTCCTCCGTTGTTGTTGTTCGTAAACAATAATTAAATATAATTAAGGGATCTGTGGGTTGGGTTTTGGTTTTTCTTGGGGTGGGGACATATATTGGGTTGTATTGCGGGCTTCTTCGACGACATTTAGAAACTAAGATAAGAACTAAACACTAAACTAGGTCAAATGTACAATTACATAAATAATAGCTCACAAAGTGCGTTTCTATATCGAAAGAAAAAAAAACTGTTTTTTTGTTTAGTTTTTACCTGCTTAAGTGTTAACAACAAACAAATTCACTAAACAAAGACAAGCAATACATTACAAAAAAAAATCAGTAATATAGTGGCTAAATATATCATATTTATATTTATATATATATGTAAATATATATGTATGCAGTATTATCATATAACGCTTCGTAATAGGTTCTATATAAACATTTACAGTTACAGAAAGGACACGGTAGCATTACCTAGTATTCCTCTCTCTCTCTCTCTCTCGCTCTCTCTCTTTCTGTCTCTTGTTTAGCGGCTTGTTTTTTGTTGCTTTTCCTTCGTTTTTGCTTTTGCTTTAACAATGTGCGGTTTTACAGTTTCCCTTTCCGTTGTCCTGCAGGATATGCTAGAATGCTTGTAGCACAGTAGTATAACAGTTTCTTCTCTCGCTTGCTCTTAAGTATCTCCGTTTTTCGGCGCTTTTGTGGGGGTTTTCGGGGTTTTTGGGCGGGGGTATTACAAAAAAAAATTGTTTTGTCTCAATCGAAAAGAAATTCGCTTCACAAATTGTACTATATATATACCTCATGTTTTTGTGTGTATATTATGGATTTTGTAAAATATATATATATATATATATATATAGAAATGTATATAATAGCATAACAAATTTTCAACAAAAATCGAAAATCGATCCATAATCATTAAGCATAGCGTTTTTTATGTTTTTTCTGTTTCGTTTAACTAGGAGAGAAAGAGATAGAACGTCTCTTAGCGGGGCTTTTCTGTTACGTTTCTTGTTAAAAACCTGGTTTTTTGCCTAATTAAAATACTAATCAGAGGCCAGGCCAACTCGCAAATGCCCTATATGATGTATATGGGTTTTTTTTTGATTTCTTTTCATCGTGGCAGCTTCTTTTTTTGTATTTTTTTGGGGTGATATATGGGGCCTTTGCGAGTTAGCGTGGCTCTACTGTAATTATTACGCATACGCCACCGTGGCCGTTTACTAGGTTTCGTGTCTGCTATGTTTGGTGTGGTGTGTACGTTGCTGTTTCTCCTAGGACTGCTTCAGCTGCTCCAGCGGCTCCAGAGGCTCCATGGGCTCCTCCTCCTCCTGCTCCTCCTACTTCTTGCTATTGAGTATGTCCTCCCGGCAGGCGACGGCGGCCACCAGGGCCGCTCCACGGCCCGAGCCGTCCTCGGAGAGCATGAGGTCAAAGGTGATGCCCGGCTTGATCAGCTGCGAGATCTTCTCCACCATCAGGTTATGGAACTTGGGATGGAAGCGGTACACACTGCCATCGACGCCCACCGTCACCGTGGGCTCGTCCATTTTGTTGATCAGAGTGGCAATGCCGGCGGACACCAGGTGGGCGGCCCTCTTCGACACGCACTCGCAGATGTACCGCACATTGGCGCAGTCCGAATCGCTAGCATTGGTCAGGCCCAGTTCCTCCAGCACCAGGCGACAGTTGGTGAAGTTGCCCGGCTCGTCCGCCTCGATTTCGCTCACATACTTGGTGAAGAACAGGCCGCGGGTGTTCAAGACCTCCGAATCCTGGCCGTTAAAGAGTATGCCCGCCCGGGTCATCTTCACCAGCACCAGACGCACCAGCTCGCCCATATACATGCCCGAGATCATCTTCTCGAACGTCTGCTTGCCGGGGTTGATGCTATGCACATCGATATCCCGATCGAACTCGGTGCGCACAAAGTCCAGGGCACCATTATCCCCGAAGGCGCCCCATTCCGTGTTGATGAGGACGTGTTTCTTGCGGGGATCCTCGGCCTCAAACAGTTCCGCCTCCTCCACCCGCTCCATGTAGCAGGCATTCGCGCCCGTGCCCACAATCAGACCTATCTTGCAGTTGTGATTCTTCCAGGCGCAGCTCATCAGGGTGCCGGTGGTGTCGTTGAGGATGGCGCACACATCGATCTGGACATCGCCGCGCCGGGCGATGGCGTCCTTCAGCAGCTGGACCACATCCTCGTTGACCACGCCGGCGCAATTGAAGCCCTTGGTCCAGGTCTCCAGCAGACCCTTGGTCAGGCCCAGCTGGCGCAGCGGGAAGGAGAAGGTGAATCCCAGCGGCAGCCTCTCCTTGTACACATTATGCTCCGACATAAAGTTGGACAGGCACTCGGCAATGTGATCGAAGAGCTGTTGGCCACTACCGATCATGATGTGCTGCGGTATGGCATAGATCCTGGACTCCATCTGGAAGTCGTTGTTCTCCTGCAGATGGATGAGCAGCACCCGGAAGTTGGTGCCACCCAAGTCCAGGGCCAGGAACTTGCCCCGCTCATTGCCGTTGGGCAGATCCTGGACGTAGGTCACAAAGCACTTGACATTCGCCTTCGGATGGGTGTCCTTGGCCAGGCCGCGACGCAGCTCGTGCAGGATGCGGTAGCACAGCTCCTGGACCTGCTCGTCCGTCAATAGCAGCTGCTGACATAACTCGTGCACCATCTTGGTTTTCTCTGCAGCGGACAAGAGTGCAATTTGCTGCGGGCTGCTGTTGCTGTGAGTTGAATTTGTTGTGGCCGCCGCCGCCGCCGTTGTCGTTTTAACAACATTTGTGGCTGTGGTTGTGGCGCCCAATTTTGTGGTCGCCGCCGGTGCACCGCTCAGTGCCGCCCCCTGTGCCACGCCCACGCGGTCCGTTTCATCTCGACCGCCTCCAACGGCGTTATTGTGACCATTCTGTTGGGCGCTATTTATGGACACGCTCCTCATCGCCCCGTTCAGCTCGCGATCCATTCTTTGCCTCTTTTTTTCGTTCTCTCGCTTCCTTGCACTCACACGGCAAAAAAAAATGTGCTAACTATTTTCCTTTATTTACACACTCGCGATCGTTCGTGTAACAGCTGAACCAATTTTTCTTCGAGTGTGTTCTTGAGTCTTTGAGTTTGAGTTTTACAGTTATTCTGCTTTGCTAGTTTTCTGCGTTTTTCTAGTTTTCTGTTTTACTGCCTCCACACTCGCCGCTCGCTCTCCGTGTTTTATTTTCGTCCGCTGCACGCGTCCGCCGCTCGAAACGTTTTTTACGGAATTGAATTCACTCGCCGACCGTTGCTCACTTTTCGCCGTCGCTGCCGCTGCGCTGCCGACGCCTACGCCGACGGCGACGGCGGCGCTACGCTCTCGCACACACGCTCTCTCCCGTTTTGTGCGACGCGTCGTGAAGGAACCTTGAAGGTCAAAGACTGAAAATCGCTTTTGGGGCGGGATGGTTGGAGATATGGCGCGTATGTGTACGCCGTTTTGGGGTCTATGAATGGCTGGGAGGGGTTGCAGAGGGTGGAGAGAGAGGGCAGAGAGAGCGGAGACCGAGAGCGGTGGCAAACGCGCGTTTATGCGCGAGCAGTTACGCGTCTTTCATGCCCTATCGCGAATCTACATACCTAAGGTCTTAGATATTGTCTATCTAACATCTTATGTTTTAACATTTTCTATGCCAGCATTAAAAATCAATGTGTTTACCAAAATAAAAAATTAACTATATATTTTGGTTTTAACAAACGGTTTAAAAGTGTTATACAACTTAATGTTTTTTTCTTATATATATGTAGTAATATGTATGTAATTATACGTTTCGTTTATTTTACTCACAAAATTTCTAAACATCATGTAAATTCCATCGCATAATCGCAGAACTACAAGGGACAGCCGGAGCGCTCTCTTTTTGCTTCCGCTTATGAGCGAACCGCTTTTGTCGTCGTCAGCAATTTGGTACTATACCCTACACTTTGTAGGGTTCATGTACATATCTGTTGTTTCTAAGAACTCTTTCAAGTTTTGCTTTTTGTGTTTTTATGCTTTTGATCAGGTAAATATTATTTAATATTTATGTTTTATCTGTAAAATTTGCAGATAAAAGTACATTAATGTAAGATTCACGAAATTAACGCAAAAAGATAGTACGAATTGGACAATAATTTTATTACCTTCAAATGAACAAAACTCCATTACTTATACGACTTGCAAGTCCCATCAACAAAATATGGGTTTGTGCTGAATTTATGGACATATATTTTGCGGCTATAAAAACTAAATTTAATAATTATAACGGTCTCAAGTGCGATTTTTGTTTGCTTCTTTCAATTTGACGAGACAATAAGGGTCGCCACTAAGTATGCAATACTTTTTTTCGAACACAGGGACGAAAATGTATGAACCTCTTGATAAAAGTAGCGCATTTAAAAGTCGCTGTGCCCCCCTTTTTTGCTGCCTGCGTGTTGGCTTCGTTCCTTGAACCCCCTGTCCGCCCCCACCCCCCTCGCCCACGCTCTATCAATCTATTTGCTCTTCCTCTCCGATGACATTAGTATTAGTATAGCAATGTCAGTCCAGCTGAGACGAGAAAGAGAGCGGCTTGCTCAGTTCACCTAGAAAATGGAAGAGCGAGTTTGCTTAGCTGTTGGTCGCCACTTCCACTCCCCCCACCCGCACTCCACTCCGCCCCCTTTTACCGCTTCTTGGAATTCTCAAGTTCTGGCGACGCGTCAACATCCTCGAATACATATACGCAAGTATGTATTTTTTCAGTGTCCGTGGGGCTCGTCTCCCCGCCCCGCCCCGCCCCCTTTGTGTGTGTACGTGCCGCTGAGTTTTAAGTTCCTCTCCCTCTGCTCTCTCGTTCTCTTTCCCGCTCGCCATTCAATGGAATTTTGTTGTTGCCCATGGGTTTTTCGTATTTTTGCAGCTAGATTTCATGTGCAATTTCATTTAGATCGCTGCATTTTTGCCTATTTGTTTTTGCCTTGCATTCTTTTTTCACCTTTTTTTATGGCAAAGAGGCTCGTCCGCAATTACGGCAACAACAACTAAAGCGCTTCCAAGTACAAGTGAGAGTACGTTGCGTACATATGTACGTACATATATGTATGTACATAAGTATATCCATATGTATGTAAACGGGCATGTCTGCAAACGTGTGTGCTGGCATGTGGCCTCATAACTGTTATACAAGACCAGACACCAACACTCGAGGGGGCAAAAATAGCAGCTGGAAGTCAGGTTTATTAGGTAAAGTTCATTCGAACTTGATTATTTAAAGCTGCAAAATGAGATTATTCAAGCACTAAAATTAAGGGTATTTGGAAAGTTCGAACATTAAATAATAAATAATATGGAAATAAACATTTCGAAAATAGATTTGAAGTAAATCTGTATTCCTTTGTTACACGTGTTGATAAACACTTTGTGGCCCTGAAATGCTAATTTCTTGCACCCCGTTGTAGACATATTCCATTCACTCACACGCCCCCTTGGGGAAAAATATGGCGGCGAGGGGGAGAGGGCGTGAGTGCGATGACGTCTGGGGCAAAGCAACAACAAAATCCAGAACTACAACTACAACTCCCTCTGTCTCTTTGCGTTTCTCCTTCTCCCTCCCGCACACACGGGCCTGCCTGCACGTGTCTTGCGAAATAATTTCGCCACAATAACAAAATCCAATAGTTGTTTACGCCAGTTTGGCGTAATAAAGCTCCAAAAATAAAGCCCAAAAAGTCAGAAAAGTGCAAAATGCATTAAAAATTCAGTGACTTTTGACGATTTCAAGAGTTTTTTTTATAAAGAGACGCTCCCCCGTCTCTCTGGTACATATGTATGTATGTACATCTGTACCTATATTATCGTAGGTGTGTCTAGGTGCGTGTGTTTGTGCGTTGGCTGGTGCGACAGAAATGATTAATTGTTTATCTGGCTCGGTTACACGTTCCGTTACTCAGGAACACACAGTCGCCAATCGAAAAAAAACTAGATTAATTCTATATTATAAGCCGAAGTGGCAGATACTCTTAAGGATCTATCTATGTAAAAAGAACTGTCGAATACAATTAATTCAATGAAATTTTTCAGATATCTTATAGAACCACAAGGATTTCTGAATTTTAAATGATCTTAAGTTGAATACCAAAAAAATAATGGTGTCTTTAAATTTCCATGATAATCCTTTGATGTTGTAATGGTGATAAAAGACTAAAAATATCTGAAAAATCCATCTATAAAGAACTTTTGCTTATACTATGTATGTAAACTCAATGAAATTATGCATTTAACTTTAAAAACTAAAAAGATTTCTGAATTTTAATTGATCTTTAGTTGGAAATTGATACAAAGACTTATAAATTTAACTGAAATCATGGTAAACCTGTGATATTGAAATGATCAAAGATTTCAATATCCTATTATAGTTATTTTTTCTTAATTTAAATCTAACTCCATTTTTTTATAAGCGTATTGCGTTGCAAACGGCCTGTCAAATTCATTGCAATCTTTTTAAAGGTACATTTGTACATATAAAGTCAACTAGATTATATTAATGGCAAACGAGACAAGGAGTGGTAGTGGTTGTTTCTTTTTCTTATCTGCAGTTACGGAAATTGCTTTGGTGAAATTCGAAATGGGGATGGTGGGGACAGGTTGAAGAATGGGAAATAGGGGCCAAGCCACTTGGAACCCACAGAGGGGCGTGTCATAGCACAGTGATATTTTCAATAAGTATATCATCCAATGATTTATAAATTTTGATTATGAATAGATCCTTATTTTTTCGAAATGGAAATGGATCAATTGTTGCTGTGAATGTTAGATTGTGCTCTCAAGGGAATAGAAAAGATGTTAAATTTCTACAGATCTCCTGGAAATTAAAAGCGTTTCTACTGTACTGGCTTGTGACCAAATATTTGTAGGTTTCATTTTCTTTATATGAACATTTGTATATTTGATAGGTCCACACAATAGGTGCATTGGCACGATGAGTCGGCGCTTTTAAAATGGGCAATGATGACAGCTGAGCACAGAAATATCATTTCAAGTGCAGCCAAACTGCGTTTGTGAATGATCGAAGTGTATGAAAAATGTATTAGAAACGGAAACAAAGAAAATACTCCAGATCTCTGGAATACGATTAGTGATTAAAAAACCTGAAACGCAAATATTTTACGTTACGCTACGGTCTGTAGCTATCATTTGAAGCGTAATGAACCTTTTATAATTATAATAGTGTGAAATAGTGATACAAATATTTGGAATCCAAAGCTATTAATTGCCTTTTAGTTATACTACGCTCTTACTTTTGTGGTTTGAGTTCTATAATGTAACTTAGAGTTTAAACAGTCGTAAAAATCTTGATCATTTGCATATAATTTATTATACATACTTAGAGGAGAATACTTATGAAGTTGCTTGTAGATGATTTTTTCCTCTTCTCGTAATTACGCATTAACTCCCCCTATTTCGTCGTAGGTAGTCGATAGATCAACCAAAAATGGACCTAAGGGAGTTCCATGTACAATGCTTTTGATTGTTATAACAGGTTCCTTTAGGAAAAACCCCTTGGACAAAAAAATCAACTGGTTCCAGCTGGGTATTTTTGGGAAGGGGTTAACCCAAAGCCGCCCAACCACGCCTTGAATTCCACCGATTTCGTCAGCCAAAGTTGGGGTTACAGAACTGTTATACGCGTCCTATCACCAGGGTCTCCAGTGTCACCTTCAACTGTTATACATACGTTGTCCTCTCCGGTATTTTCTTTTTGCTGGTAGTACGTTTCTGGGAATCCAGTTTTGGGGGCTCGCCCCATGGCACACACACACCGAAAGCCCCCCGTGTGTGTGGGTATTTCTGTGCTTGTATTTGGGGGTTTGCCCATGTGCGCTTGCTCATCGCTTTTGTTGTATATACAAAATAATCGATTTTTTACAGCATCTTATCGTATGATATTAGAGCTCTTTCTCTGTATGTCGACTGTGACGTCAATGATGATGACGTCGCCCACTCTGACTCTCCCTCCCTCTCTCTCTTATCCGCCATCTCGCTCTCACTCGAAGGGGTCAATGCAGCCCACGAAACCGCATGGAAAATTTGTGAAAATCGCCGGCCTTCGCTTTATAAACAAAAGTCATTAATTATAATACGTTTTTGGCAACTGTAAATAACTTCACGTGACGCTTGGCCAAAAGCCGGAAAATTCATCTGACAGAAAAGCGACGGAAAAAAACACATGTACATATTAAACGAGCGAATAGATAAAACCAAAATTAGCGACAAAAAAAACC